ATCCTCTCACACTGGCTCCCACGTGTGCAGAGGATGCTCGTGAGCTGGCTCCCATGTGTGCAGAGGATGCTTGTGAGCTATGTTGGAGCCCAGTCTCACCCATGGTTAGTGATTGCTGCTTCTCACAGATCCACTTAGGATACAAATGCAATTAGGGTTGCCACACACACAAGAACTCAAATCACTGTGTTCTTCAGTTACTTATTGGCTACAAACCAGAAATTTTCCTTTCTGTTTCTATTTGTATATGAACTCGCTCTGACCTGACTTTATCTTTCCCCTTCAAGAATTTGCTAAATGTGTGGTGAAGTGCTCATCACACACCAGCATCCTGAGCTTTCTCAGTCTCATAAAGGACATGATGGCCTTCAAAGAGCAGCTGGAGGTGATGTAACAAATCCTTTCGCAGTGTTTTGTTAAGCAAGGTGCTCCCCTACCAAAGACACTAAGCCAGGGACTAGTCAGCTGTGTTAATTTGCAGCACACTACCCCAGATACGAGATTAGGTCCAGTTGAAATAATAAACTTCACTGTGTCACTTTCTCATCTGTCCACAATATTGAGAAGGAAGCAGGATAAGCTAGCACCAAGCTTCTATTCCTAGCACCTAGAGGACCCCATCCTTCCCAGCCAACTACTATGCTCTCTCTACCCCCACCCCCAGTTCCAAGGTAGACTATTTGCCATCAATCCACAATATAAGCAGCTGCACATCCACCCAAGTCAGACAGGAGGCGAGCAAGAAGTAAATAGAGCCATGCCCATCCTCAAAGTCGAACTGACCTTATAACCAACAGGACTATATCCAAGAAGAATGCAGCCTTCATCTCGGGTACTTTGCTAAAATTTGGAGGTTATTAGATAAAAACATGAAACCGGGATTTGGGAGACAATAGCCATTGTTGACTAGATTAGAGGGTCACAGGGATTACAGAGAAAACACCCGCCCCAAAGGGAGTGCTCCCAAGATGCAGCACTGTCCCGTAACTGGGGCCTGAGGGAGCAGTGGACAGTTTGCAGAAACAATTTTGAGTAGTTGGTGAAACTTAGCGACTACCTAATTAAAAGAGTGAGCTGATTGGATATGCTACACAGGATTGTTTGGATTGATATAATTTTGATGAGGCATATAGAAATGAAAGATGCAGTTTCAAAAACTGACTGAGAAGTTCTGGACAGTGTGGGTAGCAGTAGCGCTTCCTTTGTTTAGAAAGTTGACTTTGGCAGGAAATGAAAGATTTAGAAATACTAGAATGCAGTGGTGGATTGTTTTCTCTAAAAATAAAAAAATAAATTGGAGGGGAAAAATGTGCTGACATGGTCCAGAGGTTAAAATGATATTGAGAATAAAGATCAGACAAAACTGAAATTCTGGAGAATTGGAGAGCAACAGAAACAAGGAGGAGAGTGAGTGGGGAGGGTCCAGAAGGAAATATCAGGGAAGAATTGCACGAGAGTCATTGTATCCTCATATCTATTTATCATCTATTATCTCATATCTACTTATCATCTCTCTATCATCTCTATCATCCATCATCTATCTATCTATCTATCTATCTATCTATCTATCTATCTATCAACCTCACACACATATGTGCATAACTATGTGTACAAATATAGAGTTTATGCAAATACTTAAATGTGAGCTTTGTGTATTTTTTTTAAATTGTAGTAGTATGGGTACTATAATGGCATGGGAAAAATTGGAATAACATCATCATGTTAGTGGAAATATTTGGTTTCTTCTAAATACAATGAGGGGGAGGAGATTAACTATAAGAAAATAAGGGTATGATTTTTTAAAAGTCCACACTATTGATGATAGATGTTCCATAAGAGTCTCTCTGAGGGCTGAGGAGATTGTTCAACAGAACCACATAAGATGCTGGGCAGGTGTGGATGCTGCTCATAATTCCAGTACTTGGTAGGACACACAGTGTCAACTCTGTGCCTCCACATGCACATGCACTCTTGCACATGTAGACACGTGAACAGAAACTACAAAAATGAAAACAATAAGGGAGTGAATAAAAAGTCTCTTGAAGAGGCTACAATACAAAGGAACATTAAACCGGAAAACCAGGATGGAGATGTAGTAGACTTACAGAACCAGATAAATTTATTGATTTCATAGCCTCACCAAAGACCTGCCAGACCATAACCTGGGACTCAGGTCTCAGCAATCCGTATCAGTAATGGGACAAAACACTCTATGGTTTTCATCCTGGCACTGGCATCAATGACCTTCTACCAAACATGGATTTCAGACACTGAGGTTGAGAAGGGTACCATTTTTCCACAATATATTGCAAAATTGACACAGGAGCCATCATGCTGCTGGAGCAGATCTACCCCACATTCCCAACAGTTTCACATCACCTTCAATGGAGTAGAGCTCCAGACACGTTCTGAACTACACTGGTACAATGTGACCTCCTTGAATGCTGAGGAAGAAACAGGGAAGCACATATGTGGACTTCCTGTCTGCTTCCATCTTGGCTTCTATCTTGGTTGCATCCAAAGAAAGCCACAAGACTCAAGAGCCTGTCTTGTACCTCATCCAACTTCAGTCTATGGAGACTAGGGCAGGATTAGGGCAGGGAGGCCCTCAAGGGTTACAAGGAGATCTGGGGGGCACTGAAAGACTAGGAACTAGCCAGGCATCCTAGGATTTTTATTTCTGTGAAGAGATACTGTGACTATGGCAACTCTTTTATAAACAAAACATTTAAATGAGGGAGCTCACATAGTTTCAGAGATTCAGTCCATTGTCATCACGGCAGGGAGCATGGTGCTGGAATAATAGCTGAGAATCTACATCTTGCAGGCAACAGGAAGTTGACTGAGACACTGGGTGGCATCCTGAGCATAAGAAACCTCAAATCCTACTCCCACAGTGACACACTTCCTCCAACAAAGTCACACCCACTCCCACAAAGCCACACCTCCTAATAGTGCCACTCCCTCTGAGATTATGGGGGCCAATTCCATTCAAACTTCCACACTAGGCCAGCATGAATCACACTGTGTGCTCATTTTTCATATCAAACCTGTGACATTCATGCCCACAAACCTTATTTCAGAAGCTCGTCTGACATTCACAATGACAGAGATGTTCTGATTAAAACAAAGAACAAGCTAAATACAGTGGAAAGGCTGAGGAAGGAGAAAAGTGCCTCTCTGTGTGTCTGTCTCTGTTCTCTCTCTCTCTCTCTCTCTCTCTCTCTCTGTGTGTGTGTGTAAGCAATCATTGTGACTCTAATGATCTTAAACTGAATGTTCCCAGTTTTTCTTCCTTTTTCCTTTCTTTCTTCTTTCTTTCTTTCTTTCTTTCTTTCTTTCTTTCTTTCTTTCTTTCTTTCTTTCTTTCTTTCTTTCTTTCTTCCTTCCTTCCTTCCTTTCCTTCCTT